CTGGGTTATAAATGTGTTATATGTTTGTGATGTGTGGTAATTTAACTATTTTGGCTACCAGCTGTGTTTCTGTGGTTTTAAAGTGCACTCGAATGTGTTTAGAGCTTGATGAAGTTAAAATTGGACCCTATTTTGGCTACTAAATGTGATTAGAGTGTGGTGTAATTTAATATCAATGTTTGTTGTCCTTCTCTGGTGACATATGTTTACAAATAAGTCTCTGTTTGTAATGTCCTTTGGACTACAAACATATCTGTAAGTAAAATACAAGTCTGGGGTATTCTGAACACCTAAATATTTCATTGAAGTTAAAAAAAGATAGATGTAGCTTTGAAGAGTTCAAAATTGAAGCCAAGTGTTTTAAACCTGCATTCTTTCCTCTGGCCGGTAGTGGACAGCTCAACAAAACAAAAGTTTGATTGATTGTGCAGTCTATGAAAAAATAAGGTTACTGTTCTCCTGTTAGATGATCTCAGTAACCAGTTCCTAAATGAGTTTGTGATCTATGGTTTATGGTCTTAGGTGTTAATTTTAAATCTTGTTTTGGACAACATGATCTTGTAAATCATGTTCCCCCTTTAGTGTCAAAAAGACAGCATAGCATCGGAGTACCTTATGATTGTCAATAGCTACCCAGGGGCAACCTCCATAGCTGAAAGACAATGCAATTGGAAAAAAAATAGTTCCCGTAGGCACCACTTGAAGCTCACTTCAAATCGGAGTCAAAGCCGCCCCCCCATAGACGATCATGCTAAAACGTGTGGTACAGACTGACAACAGCTTTTTGTGAGTAAAATCGTAAGCTTTTAGAATTCAATTTCTTTGCACCTTTTAGAAGATATGTACAGAGCCTCGTAGTTAGTTATTTTTGCAAGATCCCGCAAAAGTCCATGCACTTCCAGGTCAGTACTGAGCCCTTGGGAACAATCATAGCGATGGAAGACACAATCGCATCAATAATGGAGCTAACTAGTTAGCTGATAAATAAGCACCATCTTTCTTTTCAGGCATAATTGTTTTGATAATTTTAATGATGAAAATTAACCTTAAGCAGCATCGCAGAATTTCTATTTTTCAGACATTCAACTAATAAAGACCAGTCAGCATTGGAGCAATTGTAGGTATTGACTTATCAGTTCAAACACTTGATTTAATTTTGTAGATCAATTAGTTGTACTTGGGTTTCGTTTTAATATGCTACCTTATCTCTGCACATAAAACACGATCTCTGTGAGGCCTTTCATGTTATTTCATTAGGAAATGTAAGGCAACCATTCTTTAGACTGATCACTTTTCACCTTTGTCTCATGCAAAGAGTCCAATAAATATGCTAAAATAACAGGAATAATGAGGTGAAACCTGACAGTGAAGAACACATGCGGTAATCAGAATATGTTTAGAAAAAATGATCATCGTGATCATAAACCACTACGGCTGAACAGGCATACACATGTTGATTTAGTTACTCATACAAACGTGGTAATGGATTTATTCAATGGATAAGTGGGCCCAGTGAGACTCTGCATGGGGTCCAGAATTTGTACTTCGCCACAGGCCAAGTATTATAAGTTGGAACAGGAATAAATTTTGATTACCTTGGACCCATTTTTTACACTCAATATGCAAATGTATATGTACTTAGGGAGACTTCAATACTGGCCCATATATAAGCGTAAGATGAAGGAAAATAGCCTTTTTAATATCCCTAATATACACATATTGTTCATGTTGCGCTTCTCTTGCATACTGCGTGCACAGTTTCCACTGTAGATGGAATAATAGCTACCCTCCTGTCACCTACGCTCAGCTGGAATGCACTCATTTCTGTCTTCTGTCTGTGACTTTTGATTTGTTTTTTCTCAGTTTCTCTACCACTGTACTAGCTTGGCACGCCAGAGCTCAGACCATTACTTGTGAAGAAGGTTTGTCATAGGACTTCAACCTGCCTTCAGTTCATACAGTAACTCAGTCCTCTAGTCAGTTCACTATCAAGTCTCATTACTAGCAAATATTTTGCAAAACATGCCCTCCGAAGCAACAATGTGTCCTATATGTCCCTTTTATTCCTATGTACAGTGTACCCACAGTGTCTCAAAATTAGGATACATTTGGATACAGAAACAGAGCACAATAAGGTCTGGTGTTTTTAATCAATTATTTATCCAATATTTTAATGATCAGAGTGCCTGGGGTGATCAAAGGCGAGGTTTGAGCTCCACTGCCTTTGCTCGCTAAGACATCCCTCTGTACTTTGATGTGGTTCACCAACAAATGCACTTATCTTAAGCATAACTCTCTCCCAGGCTTGCATATGAGTGCTTTGAAACTGCTAGTTTGAGAGGCGTAAATCCAGAGAGAGGGTCACTGACCAAACCATACTGAGGAGAGAAAAAAAAAGAGAAAACTCATACATTTATGGTCTTTGACAGTCAGATGTACAACTACTGCTTTGAATGTCATCTAAATATAAAACAACCACAGGTCACTTTCTCAGGTCCCTTATGTGCATTATCATATATTTAATTGGTTGGCAAGGTCTCTAACTTGAAGTATGTGTCACAAGATGTTGAATAAAACATTACTTGAAGAAGAAACAACTGCCCGATGGCAGCCCTAAGTAAAATTCTGCTTTAAATGACCAGTCATTAGATGCAAATGAGTAAATCTTCAGACAGACTTGACTGGTGTTGTTAGTCTCAAATGTGCAGACAAAATACATAAATAATAAAATAAACATGTACTTCTCATTTGCGTAAACAGTAAAGGTACATTTAAAGAAAGACACCGATATATGCCTTTATAATATTTTTGTATTCCTTATAATCTGATTATGAGTGCTTAGTAGATATTTAGGGCATAATGTGATGATGAAATGATAAGTGGAGTGTTAATTCTAATTACAAGCTTATGTAATCTACTTTGATATGAGTGACATTGTCTCCATATGTAGAAGAGATTGTGCATAGAGTGCATCTACAGTTGCAGTTCTTGAACAGGATACTTTTGAAATTGATGTGCTGCTGGTTTCATAGTAATTACAGTGATTCATATGCCAAGCAAGTATCGTGACAGTGTTAGAAAGATCTTAATCATATTTTTGCCTTGCAGAAAATTTAGATATGGAGAAAAAAAAACATAGAAATAAAAGAAATGCTTTGAAATCTGCCCCATTTGCAATAATACCTAAGACGACACAATGTAAAAATCCTCGCAGGCAGCAGGATTTATGAGCGCAAACAAAACGAAGGGACATTTCCCATCCTTCTTTTCCACTAAGCTATTGGCATTGATAACATACCTCCTAATTCATTTGTTTAAATCTATTGCCACAAGGTGCCAGCAGCAGCATTATAGTGCAATAGTAGTGAAACAGCAATACATCCAGTGACACAGCATAAGTCAAGTGTAAGCACAAAAGTAAGGCCTAGGCAAGGTTTTACATTTTAAATTTGCTCACTTGAGTCATTTGTTTACTAATGGGTTACACACTGCCAGCTGTTAGTACCTGCTCCTTGTGTGCCTTCTTACATACACTGGTTGTACTGGATAGTCTGTTTTTGATTTGAGTTGTGAAGCTTGTCGTTTCTATTTTTGTCAAGAAAAGTATTCTTTTGTATTGTGCTCAGAGGTCTGACTTCTTCTAGCCAAGAAGTTCAATAGTATTGAAGTGGCTTCTTTTCTAGGTACTAAATTGTCATCAGAGGCCATCATGTTGTGCTACTTTCAGGCATGTTTAGGTTTGTGTCACTGTTGTCCATGCTGGGGAATTCATGATCAATAATATTGCAAATGAACTTTCATAAACAGTTTATGCAACATAAATTTGTTGCTACCTACAAAAGATTTTTTTTAAAGTCATCTTTTTCTGTATGCACATCATACTCTAAAGCCAATATTAACATATATTAACTCCATATATTTAGACTCCAGCTTTTGAGGGAAACACTGCTAAATGATATGCTTATCAGCTAACTGCTAGCTTTGCTTGTCTGCCTTTTGGTGTTGGCTTTATCAGAGCTGTTGTGCTATAAATGCAACAGTAGGGTGTTCTGGGCACAGTGGATGATGATGAGAGGTGAGATGGAGCCAAACCGTAAATGTATGGGCTGTAAAACTATAACAATGAGTTGAAAGATACTAAAACCCTTTATGGATTCTTATTTTTTTCTTTTTAATTTAGTGCGGCTGGCCACCACGAAGAACCATTTTGTTTTTAGTGAATATCTTGGGGCGTACTCCTCTATCGCTCAGTCAGTAACAGCATCCCTTGGCGAATAATTACGGAGGGATAATCTGTTGACATGAACTTGTTTCCTGTTCATTGTTTTACCGTTCCACCCCAGTAGTCCTCTCAGCTTCTCCCCTGTCTAAGTGGCACTTCACTGCCACATTTCTTCTATTTTCTTTGCAAATAAAGTCACGTATTCAGATTATTATACACAGTACAAAGAAAACAAAATTGGTGATTAAAAATTAAATACTCTTATCTCTCTGTGAGTTATCTCAGTCCCCAGAGAGAGGATGCTATTTTGCAGGCTTGCGGGTGTCTTTTGTTCCCAATTTAGAAGCTTGTCGCTGTTTATTGTTAATTTTTGATGCTTCATTTGATATTCTGTTCACTTTCCTCCCTGACAAGTGGAGAAAACATCTTTATCAAAGTGTGAGTTGTAGGGCTTCTGTTGTCAGGATGTCAGGTTTGCCCTATTCTTTACTTTTCTGGGGAGCGGGTGTGTACTCTGCAGCCTGGTTTGCTGCCGAGTCAACTGGGCACGGGTTTGCATCCGAGCAAGAAATCAATATGTATCCTTATTCTCAATTCCAACTTTAAAAAACTCTCAAATCTATGTGGTTCTCGATTGTGAACTCTGATTGACTCTAAGAACACCGGAAAGTTCCCTGTGCACTTTCCTTTGCTGAGTTCAAATATCAATTTCAATTGTAAATTCTCTATAGAGTTACAGTCAGACAGCGATGTAAAAATTTGTCATCTTTCCTTGCAGGAGGCCTGTCAATTGGGGAAGATCACCTCTGTGAATGTGAGTGCTAAACATTTTTTCTGCTCTTTCTTGCATGTTCACTTCTATCAGCATGAATGTTGCCTGATAAAGCACTTGTTTGGACTGCTATTATATTTTACAGCAAACAAATTAACACTGTCAGCCAATGTTAATACTTGGGTGAACATTACAGATGTCAAGAACTGTTGTCTTTTTCAACACAATAATTATTTACTCTGTGCAATTAGAGTCAAACACACCTCACTAACGAATGTTTGACGCTCACTGTCAGATGCACATTCCTCCACAATATTATTTTTTAACTGCACTGTGCCATTATATTAACACTGTATGGTTTAAATTTGGTTACATGCAATTGAGCACTAGTTTCAGACTTTAAATGCTTTTTGTCTCGAGCGTAACACATTTTTTGTTTCGCTTAAAAAACATGTAGTTTCTCACTAAAAATAGCAAATAATAAACGGTTCTGCTTATGCCATTGGTTGAATCTCAAACAAAAAACACAGACGAAAGTCCATTGCTGGATTTGATTCTAAAAATTCTGGAAATGTAAGGTTTACAACTAACAGAAATGGCAAATCTTCTTATTGTGATGGCCTTTTCCGTTTGTTATAATCGTATTCTAGTATAAATACGACTAACGAGAGTTAGAGCTATAAAGCCCTCCTGGCCACATGGTAACGTGTGACCAAACGACCAATAACTTGTGTCCATAATAAGACATGTGAATGAGATAATTAAATAGTATTCACAAGTTAATAAGACATGGGAATTAGATATTAAATCGTGGCCACAACTTCATTATAAAGTGTCCATGACTTCGAATATGAGATAAACAAGATCAGAAAGCTGCAAGGTGTCTGATCTTTTAATTGTTGCCTGAAGCGCATGGAGCTTTGCTCACGTCTGGGCTCAACCATCAAGTCAGATGCTTGTAATTTTTGCCCTCTCAAGATCTATACGTGTACAAAAATAGTATAAACAACAAAATTACAAACTATTTTTGCTGTTGTTTCAGAGCAGGCTGTTGTTTTTAGGTGCCAGGCTGTGTTTAAACAGAACACAGGTTATCAACACATCCGTCATGTCACGTATTTTGATTTCTTAGCCGCAACTCAGTTTTCCTCAATTATATAATTCCTTACACAGAAGAAAACAACAGACATGTAACAGGACTGAGAGAGCGAGAGCTGGTTCAGGGCCCCTCCCACTGCTGATAATGCAGGATATTATTATAACTCATCCCAAGGTTAAAATAAAACAAAATTAAATCAAATTTATAGATGCTTCATGTGTGATAATTTCCCTAAAGAGCTCGCCTGATGCTGTCAGTAAACAACAGATTCTGTATCTTGTGGCCAGGCATTAATAAGACATGGCAACAATTTAGTTATCATATCTGTATTCCTAACTGCCTCTTAGCCACAAGTTATTGATCTTGTGATCACAAATAACTAACTTGTTGCCATGCAGTAATATTTTGTCCTCCAGTGTCCCCATCAGGCTCCATAAATGGCTGAAATATGTTGTCAAATTTCATGTTGACAACAGTATAATGTCATAAGTATTGAAAAGCATCGTCTTATTACTTGAAAAGTTGTTTGTTGGATACATGACAGAGTGAAATGTTTATTCATTTATCACTAAATCCCATCCAGTATATGTTCATAATGCTTCACTGTAAGGTTTATGCCACAGCTGACCTAAATTAAAACTATTGGTAATAACAATACAATGTAATGGTAAATCCATCATCAAAATATTTTTAAATGCAAAAATATAATAACTGTTGTAATCCATGAATTTTCAAATTTGCTGTTTTATAAAACAGTTGAAAAAAGTAAAGCACATTATTATTATTTTTTGATTAAGGTGCCAAATCACAATTATTTACTTGCATTCCTGAACAGAAAATTTAGTTTTAGTGGTTGATTGTTATGCTTGATTAATTTCTGACACAAAGCACAAATTCAGTTTGTTATTTGCCTAATAAATAACAATATAAAACACACATCTGATTTCAGTTGTTTTATGACAGGTAGTCTAATAGATTTGTATTATGTCTGTAAGCATCCTGAGAGATGAGGAGTGTTTGGGGAATCACAACAGGACTGTTAAAGTTCTTCCTTACTGTTTGCACAATAACTCGCAACCCAACTTTTCTGCAGCTTCAGCATAATGTTAAGCGGCAGAAAATGCTTGTGTTAAACTCTCGCATTAGTTTTTTGACTACACAGTCAGAATTCTTGATAACATCTGTTGCTTATTCATACTGAAGTCATCGTGTTGGTGACATTTCACATTTCAGTGTGAGACCACAGTTTGGCAGGACTGGAGATATTATATGTTTTGTCATAACAGTGTCACACAAAGAATATCAGAATTATCAGTGTATAACAGCAGATGACTCAAAGACTGATGACAGTCAAAAAAACCACCCAGTAGTCTCTCAGCCCACTTGCTAGAATCACCTCCTTCTTGTGTGTTCCTGCTAACTCATCATCTCACAAGCAGAGGCCTATCACCTTACACATAATAGGCAGAACTGGAACAGCATGTACAAAAAATATCAAGGAAAGGACTAAAGAAATACCTAAAACCACATTGGTTTTTATTTATTTATTGCCAGTGTTGCACCACCTTCAAGCAACACTGGGACATGCAGGACACTGCTTTTTGGATCTTGCCATTGCTGTATAGCTGCTTTTTTCACTCTACATAAGACACGTGTGACATGACAAATCGCCATCTCCTCTGAACAGATTTATGCAGGTCTAGGTGTGCCCGCGAGCTGATCCTTATCTGAAATGGCGGAGCCAATCTCCCCTGATTCACTCCTAAGTGGTCTCTGTTTATCACTCAGTAAGGTGGTTGTCAGCCAAGTCCCTCTCTGTGCACCGCTGACTTCTTTGCTATTTTGAGAGAACGGCAGTTGGGTTGGGCAGTATATGTAATAATAAAAGCCATAGAGCTGCAGACTACCAGAGAACAAGGTGGCAACCACTTGGTCTCCCCTCTTCTCTATCTAAATATAGCCGACTTATAATCCAGTAACCCGTGAATTCATCCCTGCCAGGGTGGTTTCCAGAGGGCTGGTTTTGGATTTTCGAGCTTGTTATATGGTAGAACTTGGCATGCACGTCTCCTGTTCGTTTATCTCTGTGTACATACTTCTCAAGGCAGTGTTTTATCTGGCTGAACGGGCTTTGTTTGGTCTTGATATCTCTTACAGCAGCTTGTCTTTGCTTTATGGATTTCTGGCAGCTTCTTTAAATAAGTGATTATGCTTAGCAAAACACTCACCTTGACTCCTTGGTGAATGTTTGTTTTTGTTTGTGGTGTTTGTTTTTCGACATTAATGTTTTATTCGCATTAGTCATTACCTCTGGGAGCAAAACTTTTATTTATTTAAGACCTATTAATGGTATTTAATTGTAATTAATATTGTAGCTCCGAGTGACTTTGTAGCGAGGGCACCATGAAATCGAATTAGGCTTTTCTTAACATCTGGCATCAACTTGAAGGAGCCTGAATAAACAACAGTCTAAAAAAGAAGACACTCCCTCATGCAAAATGATTATGTCCTAATTGTCACGGGCAGCTGTTTGTTCTAATAGATTCTGGGAGCCATTGTTGAAGCAAGTTTTCAGTAATTAGAATCATGTGGAGAGAAAGCGTGCTTTTTTGTAAAGCTGCCAACCATCCGTAAGTGGGCTTTTTCTTTTGCTGGAACCTGGACATTGCGTTTGCGTGCATCCTCCAGTAATTTGAGAAACAGCTGCCAACGCTGTTTGAGAACAAGTAGATATTTAGACCACTTGAAAGCGTGGGCAAACATGGCACACAGAACTATATAATTTTGCCAGCAAGGTATTTCTTCTTCTGCTCTGTCTTAGAAAATGAATAAAACCATGAGAGAAAAAAAAGGCTATGTGCTGTAGAATATATGCCACCAGAGAATCTCCCGCCACGTGCAATAAAAACAAGATTGATTTTAGTCCTACGTCTTCTGTTTTTATGTATTTGAGAAATGAATGCAGCTGATGTGAACAAATACATTATTCCTCCAACAAAACGCTTTTGTTTCAGAGTTTTTATGTCAGACAATAGTTGACGGCTATGTGTGTTTGGCTGTTTGTTTCTTTGACTGCATGCCCCCTTTTTTCTGTCTTTTCTTCTTATTTCTCATCTGTCTTTTTAAGGGCATACGCACACTCAAACTCTCACACACACTCGCACAAACGGAGAGCAGGATTTGAGGCCTCAGGTTCCAGATGAATCAAGAAAGAGAGAAAAAAAAAGAGTATTTAACAAACTGCTTGAACATCACAGTATTGAAGCCACTCAGTTTGTGCTTTCAGGGTGCTAATTGTGAGGATTTAGGTTAGGCAGCCCACTCTAATAATTTTTAAATGAAGCTTTTTGGTGCACTTTGTTTTTGGCAGCTTGTCCTTCTTTAGAGCCAGACTTTAGTTCGCTCTCCATCTCTCCTCTGTTTCCTTTGCCTTATTTAGACTTTTCAAACAACAATAAGTGCTTCATCTATACACTGTGGTGACTATGGAAAAATATGTGTGCGTAGCTTCTCCTGAGCTTAAAGGCGCAAGTGTTAATGATGTTTTTAATTCAGGACATGCATATTGCTTTTGTTGCTATAGCAATGGAAAATCAAGATAGTCATTTGTGCCAGTTGTATTTGCTCTCGGAAAAAAAAAATCTTATCAGTTTGAATAATGGGATGAATAAAATTCGCCGCAATAACCGAAGCTGAGGGCGTAATTATATTTTATACGTTTTATGCCTCTATACAGCGTGATGCAGTATGATGTTACTGAGGGAATCATGTGTAGACATAAATTCAAGCTGCAGTCTATATTACAGAGACTGCACTGTGTTTCACCACGGCTGTATCAAACTCAGATATCCTCATTTCTGATTTTGTCTTTGTAAAGGAAACAATTTTTTTATGAAAGTAAAAATATAAAAGTCTGTGGAGTCTAAAGATTGCCCACAATATA